TCCTCCAGACTTGCCGTCTATCCAATCTCCCCGCTAGTTCAGCGTCCTCCAGACTTGCCGTCTATCCAATCAACCCCCTAGCCCAGCATCCTCCAGACTTGCCGTCTATCCAATCAACCCCCTAGCCCAGCGTCCTCCAGACTTGCCGTCTATCCAATCTCCCCGCCATCCCAGCGTCCTCCAGACTTGCCGTCTATCCAATCTCCCCGCCATCCCAGCGTCCTCCAGATTTGCCGTCTATCCAATCTCCCTGCCATCCCAGCGTCCTCCAGACTTGCCATCTATCCAATCTCCCCGCCATCCCAGCGTCCTCCAAACTTGCCGTCTATCCAATCTCCCCGCCATCCCAGCATCCTCCAGACTTGCCGTCTATCCAATCTCCCCGCCATCCCAGCGTCCTCCGGACTTGCCGTCTATCCAATCTCCCCCCTAGCCCAGCGTCCTCCAGACTTGCCGTCTATCCAATCTCCCCGCCATCCCAGCATCCTCCAGACTTGCCGTCTATCCAATCTCCCCCCTAGCCCAGCGTCCTCCAGACTTGCCGTCTATCCAATCTCCCCCCTAGCCCAGCGTCCTCCAGACTTGCCGTCTATCCAATCTCCCCGCCATCCCAGCGTCCTCCAGACTTGCCGTCTATCCAATCTACCCGCCAGCCCAGCGTCCTCCAGACTTGCCGTCTATCCAATCTCCCCGCCAGCCCAGCGTCCTCCAAACTTGCCGTCTATCCAATCTCCCCGCCATCCCAGCATCCTCCAGACTTGCCGTCTATCCAATCTCCCCGCCATCCCAGCGTCCTCCGGACTTGCCGTCTATCCAATCTCCCCCCTAGCCCAGCGTCCTCCAGACTTGCCGTCTATCCAATCTCCCCGCCATCCCAGCATCCTCCAGACTTGCCGTCTATCCAATCTCCCCCCTAGCCCAGCGTCCTCCAGACTTGCCGTCTATCCAATCTCCCCCCTAGCCCAGCGTCCTCCAGACTTGCCGTCTATCCAATCTCCCCGCTAGCCCAGCGTCCTCCAGACTTGCCGTCTATCCAATCTCCCCGCCATCCCAGCGTCCTCCAGACTTGCCGTCTATCCAATCTCCCCGCCAGCCCAGCGTCCTCCAGACTTGCCGTCTATCCAATCTCCCCGCCATCCCAGCGTCCTCCAGACTTGCCGTCTATCCAATCTCCCCGCCATCCCAGCGTCCTCCAGACTTGCCGTCTATCCAATCTCCCCGCCATCCCAGCGTCCTCCAGACTTGCCGTCTATCCAATCTCCCCGCCAGCCCAGCGTCCTCCAGACTTGCCGTCTATCCAATCTCCCCGCCATCCCAGCGTCCTCCAGACTTGCCGTCTATCCAATCTCCCCACTAGCCCAGCGTCCTCCGGCTGGACCTAGGGGAGGCACACCGACCCGGCGGGTCCCCGACCCTCTGCTCACTCGAGACCTTCGCCCTCACGAGGGCGGGAAGGCTGGGAGCCAGGGTCCTATCCAGGACCTATCTCCCCTGACCACTGGTGACACTGAGCCCCAGCCCTGACAAGGGCTGGGGTCACCACACAGAGACCCACAGACTCACCACACAGAGACCCACAGACTCACCACACAGAGACCCACAGACTCACCACATAGAGACCCACAGACTCACCACACAGAGACCCACAGACTCACCACACAGAGACCCACAGACTCACCACGTGTCCCAGCGTTGGTTGTGTCCCGGTCTGTCCATGGCCTGGCCTCCTCTCTCCTTGCCTGGCTGCTTGCCCCGTGAGTGAGGCTGCCTGCCCAGCTGTTTTGTTGTTTACTGGGGGAGACATTGTGGTGCTGGTGGTGATGGTAATAAAGGTGGCAAGTTCACTTACCTGGGCTGGAACTGCTCTGAGCAGGTGGGCGCGTCGTGATGATGCTGTTGTTGTTGTGCACAAGACTTGAACTAGAAACTAAACCGCGTTTTATTTTTAGCGGGCAAGGGCCTCATTGAGATGCTGTGTGTGTAAGCTCTCTTTTAGAAGGCCCTGACCTGGCCATTACCGATGACAGTTCTACCAATGAGGTTCATCATCATCATCACGTGAACCTTTATAGCAGTTGGCAAAGACTCTAGCAACTCACGGCTCTCAAATGTGGAGGGGAAAACCAGAGGGCCCGGAAAGAAAATCCACTCGACAACAGAAAGACAGAGAGACACAAACTCTATGCAGCAGCTGCAGCATCAACTGCCGGTCTCTGTGCGTGTCTGTGTCTCTGCGTGTGTCTGCGTGTGTCTGTGTCTGTAACGGTGTGTCTGTGTCTATGTCTCTGCGTGTCTTTGTGTCTCTGCGTGCATGTCTCTGTGTGTCTCTACGTGTCTCTGCGTGTGTGTCCATGTCTCTATGTGTGTGTGTCTCTGCATGTCTACGTGTGTGTCCATGTCGTCTCTGTGTGTGTCTGTGTCTCTGTGTGTGTGTCTGTGTGTGTGTCTATATCTGTGTGTGTGTGTCTCTGCATGTGTGTCTCTGTGTCTGTGTGTCTCTGCGTGTGTGTCTGTGTGTGTCTCTCTGTGTGTGTCTATGTCTCTGTGTGTGTGTCTCTGCGTGTCTGTGTGTGTCTCTGTGTGTGTGTGTGTCTCTGCGTGTGTCTCTGTGTGTGTGTCTATGTGTGTGTCTGTGTCTCTGTGTGTGTCCATGTCTCTGTGTGTGTGTCTCTGTGTGTGTGTCTATGTCTCTGTGTGTGTGTCTCTGTGTCTCTGTGTGTGTGTCACTGTGTGTCTCTGTGTGTGTGTCACTGTGTGTGTGTGTGTCTGTGTCACTGCGTGTGTGTGTCTGTGTCTCTGCATGTGTGTGTCTGTGTGTCTCTGTGTGTGTGTGTCTCTGTGTGTGTGTCTATGTCTCTGTGTGTGTCTGTGTGTCTCTGTGTGTGTGTCTGTGTCTCTGCATGTGTGTCTATGTCTCTGTGTGTGTGTCTGTGTCTCTGTGTGTGTGTGTGTCTGTGTGTGTGTCTCTGTGTGTGTGTCTGTGTCTCTGCATGTGTGTCTCTGTGTGTGTCTGTGCGTCTCTGCGTGTGTGTCTCTGTGTGTGTGTCTCTGTGCGTCTCTGCGTGTGTCTGTGTGTGTCTCTGTGTGTGTCTATGTGTGTCTCTGTGTGTGTCTGTGTCTCTGCATGTGTCTCTGTGTGTCTGTATGTGTCTGTGTCTCTGCATGTGTCTCTGTGTGTCTGTGTGTCTCTGCGTGTGTGTCTGTGTGTGTCTCTCTGTGTGTGTCTATGTCTCTGTGTGTGTGTCTCTGTGTGTCTGTGTGTGTCTGTATGTGTCTCTCTGTGTGTGTCTATGTCTCTGTGTGTGTGTCTCTGCGTGTCTGTGTGTGTCTCTGTGTGTGTGTCTCTGTGTGTGTCTGTCTCTGTGTGTGTCTATGTCTCTGTGTGTGTGTCTCTGTGTGTCTCTGTGTGTGTCTGTGTGTGTGTCTCTGTGTGTGTGTCTCTGTGTGTATCAATGTCTCTGTGTGTCTCTGTGTGTCTCTGTGACAGTCGAGTACGGAGACTCGTGATGTGCACCGACTCTGTTCATGTGCGACACAACTTCACGCCACGTGGTCCCACTGGGAAAGAGGGCGGCACAAGTAAACACTAACACGAACCGGTAAACCATTGGCAATTGATCAAAGCTATAAAGGCGATGATCCAGGAAAATTATATTATGATGCTGCATGAAAAGGTAATAGGTTACTCTGAAGTTCCTGGCCATTGGAACGTTGGTAATGATCAGGAACATGCCCTGACAAAACAGGGAAGTCTGAAATATGCTGGGTGTAAATCAGCACATCAAATTAAATCCGCAGAGGAGGGAAAGAAAGGTCCCAAGCATGCGACACTCGGCCGAGAGAGTGGGGAGAGAGAGAGGAAGAGACTTTTCACGACTTTATTTCCACTAAAACATTAACAAAAAACCATTACAGGAAAACACACGTACATTGTGAATCAACAAAACATCAAACTCTTAACAGCTGTGTGTGCACGAACTACACGTGGCACAGGGATAGAGGCTGTGCAAACGAGGCGGTGCACGGACCTCTCCGTGTGTAGCAAAGTCGCTACGCTGAAGAGTTTTTCAATTTGATAAAGAATCAAATGTTTTGACATCAGAATGCGACGTGAACAAAATACTTTTTTCTCCCCGACATTTTCAAAACAAAATGGCGTTGACGCGTAAAACACCTGAAATCATTTTGTCTTTACGGATTCAGTTGTCGGTCGTCATTAGAGTGTAATGACAGGGTGACACCTGGTGTGACGAGGACGTGTGCGGGGCCACGGGGTGACGAGTCAAATGAGGCACAACGTGAAGTCAGGGCTGGTCCCCCCCCAACGAGGGAAACAGGAAAGGGGCGGACGGCTGAGTGGAGAGCGAGCGGCAGAGGTCGCAACCGGGTACCCGGTACCCGTACCCTACCCGATACCCGTACCCTACCCGATACCCGGCTACCCGTACCCTACCCGATACCCGTACCCTACCCGATACCCGTACCCTACCCGATACCCGGCTACCCGTACCCTACCCGATACCCGTACCCTACCCGATACCCGGCTACCCGTACCCTACCCGATACCCGGTTACCCGTACCCGATACCCGTACCCTACCCAATACCCGGCTACCCGTACCCGGCCGGGTACGGGTAAGCCGTGAGTCACTGGTGAGTCACCGTGTGTCACTCATTTGCCAACGTCTTGTCTCTTCTCACAATTCAAGTTCCTAGAATCAACCCACCCGCGCCTGCAACGTGGCTTCATCCCAGAGGTCGCAATCGGGTACCCGATACCTGTACCCTACCCGTACCCGGCCGGATACGGGTAGCCGGGTATCGGGTAGGGAACGTGTACGGGTACCCGATTGCGAGCTCTGGCATGCGGCAACGTGACCATGTCGAGTGAGCGGCCGGGCAACTTGCAGTTTGACGGTGAACACGGCAGAACGGATGTGAGCTTCAAGCGGTAGGACACCGTCCGCGGTCTGATGAACGCCGCCACGACGGCCACGCGGCACTACGGGTGCGTGCCGCTTGTCGGCAGGCGCGCGGCGACCGGCTGCCGGGGCGCGGGGAAGTCGCCGGGATACGCCGGGAGGTCCCGGACGGGGCGGCCGGGAGGCGCCGTCGCGACGGGGGCCGGGCCCGCCCTCGGGTTCGCGTCGCTGAGGATTTCGTGGAGGAGCTCGCTGGCAACTTCGCGCGCTCCCTCCACGCTGGAGCTCAGCACCGCGGGGAAGAAGCCGCTGCCTTCCCGCATCATCCCGGGAACGGAGACCTTGTACAGGAGGCCCATGGGCCTGCCGGGCTCCGAGTGAGCGTGCAGTTCGAAGGTCGCGTGGCCCACGCCGGCGCTCCGTAGCAGCGCCTGCAAACGCGTCTCCCACGACAAGACGGCCGCCTCCGGCAGCTCGTCCAGACCGACGGGCGTGGGCCGCGAGTGGCGGGGTGCCCGCCAGAGCTGCGTGCGCGCCGCCCAGCCCACAAACAGGCTGTGCGGGACCTTGCCGCAGACGGCGCACTCCGGCTGCGGGAGGCCTGGGACCGCCGCCACCTCCTCCTCGTCTTCAATTGCCTCCTCCTCCACCTCCTCCTCCACCACCTCCTCCTCCTCTACCACCTCATCCTCCTCCTCCTCCACCACCTCTTCCTCCTCATCTTCAGTTGCCCCCGCCTCCTCCTCCCCCTCCTCCTCGTCTTCCGTTGCCTCCTCCTCCCCCTCCTCCTCCTCCCCCTCCTCCCCCACCTCCTCCTCCTCCTCCACCACCTCATCCTCCTCCTCCTCCACCACCTCTTCCTCCTCATCTTCAGTTGCCCCCGCCTCCTCCTCCCCCTCCTCCACGTCTTCCGTTGCCTCCTCCTCCCCCTCCTCCTCCTCCCCCTCCTCCCCCACCTCCTCCTCCTCCACCACCTCTTCCACCTCCTCCTCCACCACCTCTTCCTCCTCATCTTCAGTTGCCCCCGCCTCCTCCTCCTCCTCGTCTTCCGTTGCCTCCTCCTCCTCCACATCCTCCTCCTCCACCTCCTCCTCCCCCCCCTCCTCCTCGTCTTCCGTTGCCTCCTCCTCCCGCTCCACCACCTCTTCCACCTCCTCCTCCTCCACCACCTCTTCCTCCTCGTCTTCAGTTGCCGCCTCCTCCTCCCCCCCCTCCTCGTCGTCTTCCGTTGCCACCGCCGCGGCAGCAGCAGCAGCCGCCGCCCCCGGCTCTCGCTGCGGGATGGCCCAGTCCACGTTGATGTCCCGGCCCCACAGCCGGAAGGAGTACGGCAGCAGCACCCTGCGGGCCATGCAGGCCGCGCGGTGGCTCTCGTATTCGACGAACGCGTAGCCTCGGCTGAGGCTCCTGTCGTAGCGACAGAAGCGCATCTGGACGTCCACGACGCCCTCCGTGGCGTCGCTCATCGCCGCCATCACCTCGGCCCGCGTCTTGTCCTTCGGCAGCCTCGCCAAGAAGAGGCGGCGATTGTCGACGCTCACGCAAACCGCGATCCGTCGCCCCGGGCGGATCTCCAAGTCGTGGGGTCTCTTGACGGCGTCCGCGGCTTGCGAGCGCGTCGCGAAGGTGGCGAACGCGTAGCCGCGGTTCTCTCCGTCGTACGTCATCATGAGGCGCAGCTGGTACAGCTGCCCCACCGCCTCCAGCACGGGAAGCAGCTCGTCCTCGTACAGGTCGCGCGGGATCCTCGCCACGAACACCTCGCAGCCGCGGGCGGGAGGGGGGCCCTGCCAGTCGGGCGGCGGTCCCAGCTTCCTCTGTCCGTTCTCCTGGACGACGTTGTAGCCCGTGCGCAACATGAGGTCCAGAAGGTCCCTCTCCACGCAGCTCATGATGTCGAGCATCGGCGCTTTGTCCACGGCGGCGGTGACGACGGGGCAGCGGTTTGGGGCCCGTTGGAGCCCTTGACACTCACCGGCGCAGAAGCCTCGTGCCGACAAAGCCACGGCGGGGGGCGGAATCAACTCGTGAAAAGGCGGGAACTCGCTCGGGCCAAGCCTACAGGCCCAGCAGTGGAGAGAGGAAGAGAGAGTGGAGAGACGGATGGAGAGAGAGCTACCTTTGTAAACTCGGAAAATCACAATAAAATAAAAACCCAAGAAACTGTGTCTTGACCTTTGAACCGCCCTGTATAATGACCCCTCACCCCCAGTAGACGACCTGGTACCCCTCCTCACTCATCCACTCACTGACCCATCCACGCACCTCACACACCCACTCGCTCACACACTCACCCACCCACTCACCCGCACACCCACTCGCTCACACACTCACCTCACACACTCACCCACCCACTCGCCCGCACACCCACTCGCTCACACACCCACCCACTCACCCGCACACCCACTCGCTCACACACTCACCCACCCACTCACATCACCCGCACACCCACCCACTCACCCGCACACCCACTCGCTCACACACTCACCCACCCACTCACCCGCACACCCACTCGCTCACACACTCACCCACCCACTCACCCGCACACTCACCCGCACACCCACTCGCTCACACACTCACTCTCTCACACACTAACCTCACACACTCACCCACCCACTCACCCGCACACCCACTCGCTCACACACTCACCTCACACACTCACCCACCCACTCACCCGCACACCCACTCGCTCACACACTCACCCACCCACTCACCCGCACACCCACTCGCTCACACAATCACCCACCCACTCACCTCACCCACTCACTGATGATGATGAGAGAGAGAGAGACACGCAGACTCCAAATATACAGCAGTTGGCGTCGCCAGGGCCGGGATCGAACCCACGACCTCCTGCATACCAGGCGAGGTAGTTAACATCTCCTAGCCACCGTGATGATGATGAGAGAGACACACAAACTCCAAATATACAGCAAGAATCTTCAGGATCGAGATCAAACCCATGACCTCCTGTATACCAGGCGAGGGAGTTAACATCTCCTAGCCACCGTGATGATGAGAGAGAGACACACAAACTCCAAATATACAGCAAGAATCTTCAGTATCGGGATCAAACCCACGACCTCCTGCATACCAGGCGAGGTAGTTAACATCTCCTAGCCACCGTGATGATGAGAGAGAGACACAAACTCCAACTCCAAATAAAGTTTGAATGTATGCGTGTCGTTAAACCGGCCATCAGCCGACAGCCGATTCGCAAGGTTTATCACGTGACATACCGTGCCAATCTGTCACTGGAGCAGCACTAACCGGTTGTGTGTTGGAGTGTCTGTGTGTACACTGTGTGTGTCTGTGTGTACACTGTGTGTGTGTACACTGTGTGTGTCTGTTTGTACACTGTGTGTGTCTGTGTGTGTGTGTCTGTGTGTGTGTACACTGTGTGTCTGTGTGTACACTGTGTATGTGTGTCTGTGTGTGCACTGTGTTTGTGTGTGTACACTCTGTGTGTGTCTGTGTGTGTGTACACTGTGTGTCTGTGTGTGTACACACTGTGTGTGTCTGTGTGTGTGTCTGTGTGTGTGTGTATACAGTGTGTGTGTGTACTGTGTGTGTACACTGTGTGTACACTGTGTGTGTGTGTACACTGTGTGTGTACACTGTGTGTGTGTGTGTGTCCACTGTGTGTCTGTGTGTACACTGTGTATTTGTGTGTACACTGTGTATGTGTGTCTGTACACTGTGTGTCTGTGTGTACACTGTGTATGTGTCTGTGTGTGCACTGTGTGTGTGTACACTCTGTGTGTGTACACTGTGTGTGTGTGTACACTGTGTGTGTGTGTGCACTGTGTGTGTGTACACTGTGTGTGTACACACTGTGTGTGTACACACACTGTGTGTGTCTGTGTGTGTGTCCACTGTGTGTGTGTACACTGTGTGTGTGTACACTGTGTGTCTGTGAGTACACTGTGTGTGTGTACACTGTGTGTGTGTGAGTACACTGTGTATGTGTGTCTGTGTGTGCACTGTGTGTGTGTACACTCTGTGTGTGTGTCTGTGTGTGTGTACACTGTGTGTTTGTGTGTAAACTGTGTGTGTACACACTGTGTGTCTGTGTGTGTTTGTCTGTGTGTGTGTACACTGTGTGTGTGTACAATGTGTGTGTGTACACTTTGTGTGTGTGTGCACTGTGTGTGTGTGTGTACACTGTGTGTGTGCACTGTGTGTGTGTGTGTGCACTATGTGTGTGTGTACATTGTGTGCACTGTGTGTGTGCACTGTGTGTGTGTGTGTACACTGTGTGTATGTGTGTTCACCACGCCCGGCGGACCCGTTATTCGATCCCGACTCCTGCCGGGGGAGGCGCTCCGGGCGCGGCGGGTCCGCTAGGAAAACTCGGGATGGCCCGAGGCCGACTAGGCCGCAGTCTTCCCTCCCCTCTGTTCTAGATGGTGACGGTGTTGCTGATGTTGTTGTTGTTGATGCTGATGATGTTGTTGTTGATGCTGCTGATGTTGTTGTTGTTGCTGTTGCTGATGATGATGTTGATATTTCTGCTGATGCTAGGGGTGGTGATGATGTTGCTGATGATGTTGTTGTTGATGCTGATGATGATGCTGATGATATTGTTGTATATGATGGTGTAAATGATGTTTATTGATAATGTTGATGATCGCAAACATTAACATAATTTATTAATTTATTCAGTTAGGGTAGCCTCTCATTGTGGGAGGGGAGGGTCTTGTACCCCAGAAAGTGACGTCATGTCATCTGCTGCCGGGTGACGTCACGAGGTAACAGGCAGCTGGAGGTCCGCGCGTGAACTGAAATCCGAGGTGAGAAATTTTCATTGCGGTTGTTGTGGTTGTTGTGGTTGTTGTTGTTTACCAAGCTAGAGCCTCGCTCTCTCTCTCTCGTAGGGATGTCAATAGAGCAGCAGCAGCTTGTGAATCGATGTCCAAGTTGGAACTTTACAACGCGGGGCCTAGACACGCGGGGCCTTGCCTCCTGCCCTCGCCTGGTCGCGTTTGCTTTAATTCCCTCCCTTAAGTTTAATTTGTCTTCACGCGGCTCGCTACTTTGTCACTTTGGTTTATTGTAGATATTAAGGCAGTTTTTTTTTTCGTTTTTTACCAGCCCAAGCCCGCCTGAGCTGCTGTACCGCTCTAGTTTACAGAAGCTACCTGCCCACAACAACAACAAGGTATGGGGGGTTTTGTCAACGCGTGTGTCAATGTTTTGACTTAAAACTTTCGTAACTGCAGCAATTCATATTCTTGGTTCTTTCGGTGAAGTCACGGAGATAGAAAATTAATAAAAATAACAGATAATAAAATGAATAAAAGTAAACAAAATTGTAAATAAAACCACGACGTTTCTATCACAACACAAGTGGCATTTATTTGATGTTATCTGTTGTTATTGTCTATCTACGTAACTTTACCGAAAGAACCAAGAATACGTGTGGAAATGTGTATCGGTCAAAGACGCTAATCACGTGCTGATGTTGACTCTAAATGTGGAGGGCAAACCCGGGAGATTCGGAGGAAAATCCACGCGACCACGGAGAGAGAGACACGCAAACTCCAAATATACAGCAGCAGCAGGCGTCAGGGTCGGGATCGAACCCACGACTTCTTGTATACCAGGTGAGGTAGTTAACATCTCACCACGGAGATACGAGGGCTTCCAGGCATATTTATGACCATTTGCCCTCTCATTGTGTGCAATAACAGCCCGTGTGATGAATTTGGGAAACTTTTTCACTACATCATGAATATATGAATAAGTATAGACGTGTAAGTCACGTGTGACTGTGTATATGCATTACTCTGTGTCTGACGTGTAGGTGGTGTGGATATAATTTTTTTCTGTCTGCAGCTGTCGCTTGGTCTGATGGAGCAAAGGCGCTCAGCACAGCTCGGTACGGCAAGGCAACAATGCGACCAGCGTGGATACAGCACGGAGCGGACTGGAAATTTTACACACCACCAGAGAGCACACACAGGAGAGAAACCCTTCAAGTGCACTGTGTGTGGGATGGCGTTTGCATGGCCATCATTTCTTCAGATCCACCAGAGAACACACACAGGAGAGAAACCCTTCAAGTGCACTGTGTGTGGGATGGCGTTTGCATGGCCATCATTTCTTCAGATCCACCAGAGAACACACACAGGAGAGAAACCCTTCAAGTGCAGTGTGTGTGGGAAGGCGTTTTCACGGTCATCTACTCTTATAAAACACCAGAGAACACACACGGGAGAGAAACCCTTCAAGTGCAGTGTGTGTGGGAAGGCGTTTGCACAATCACCACATCTTCAAGCACACCAGAGAACCCACACGGGAGAGAAACCCTTCAAGTGCAGTGTGTGTGGGAAGGCATTTTCAATGTCATCTTCTCTTATAAAACACCAGAGAACCCACACGGGAGAGAAACCCTTCAAGTGCAGTGTGTGTGGGAAGGCATTTTCACGGTCATTTTCTCTTAAAAAACACCAGAGATCACACACAGGAGAGAAACCCTTCAAGTGCACTGTGTGTGGGAAGGCATTTACACAGTCATCAAATCTTAAAACACACCAGAGAACACACACGGGAGAGAAACCCTTCAAGTGCAGTGTGTGTGGGAAGGCATTTTCACGGTCATCTTCTCTTATAAAACACCAGAGAACACACACGGGAGAGAAACCCTTCAAGTGCAGTGTGTGGGAAGGCGTTTGCACAATCACCACATCTTCAAGCACACCAGAGAACCCACACGGGAGAGAAACCCTTCAAGTGCACTGTGTGTGGGAAGGCATTTTCACGGTCATCTTCTCTTATAAAACACCAGAGAACACACACGGGAGAGAAACCCTTCAGGTGCACTCCGTGCGGGAAGGCGTTTGCACAGTCAGAACATCTTCATGTACACCAGAGAATGCACAAGCATCAGAATATCCACCAGGAGTGGAGTCTGAAATCAGCTTGTGAAAGTCAAAGTGCTGCAATGAGCCCATCCCTCATCAAACATGAACCGGAAGAAAATCCCAGCTTGGACACTTTTAAAGGTAACGAGGTGAAATATGAAGAGGTGAAGGTGAAATGTGAAGAGGTGATGGTGAAGAGCGAAGAAGTGAAGGTAAAATGTGAAGATGAAGAATCAACTCCAAAATGGGACCTTCACATCGATGGAGGCAACGTGAAGCAGGAGGAGAATTCTGACTGTGAGGCAGAGTAAGGCAACTCCAAGCATCTTCTTGGTTCTTTCGGTAAAGTCACGTAGAAGGGAAGTAATACAATAATACAAATAAAACATGATCACATAATTCTCACGACGTTTCGGCCACAACGCAAGCAGCTGTCCTCAGGTGAAAGAACCAAGAAGATGAATCCCTGCAGTCAGGAAAGCTTTAAATTGAAACTCCCAGCAGTTTGTGGAGGTGTGGCTGGACTTCCTAGACAACACAAAGTCAAATGGAGACCCGGTAGATGAGTAAGCCAGAGACGATGTCGCTGCAATAGATGCTCCTTTGTCACAGGCCTTTAATGACAATAACGTGAAGTTGAACACTCAGTTCCTGGGTTCAACCTGCAGGGTAAGAGTGAGTGGCCAGTTACTGCAGCTACATACTATTAACACTCCTTCCCTTTGTTAATGCTACCCCTATCCCCTTCCTTTGATGCTGCTAATTCTGCATAATGCACGGGCATAAGTGGTACTAATCACATACCTGCATTTCTCATAAATATGCTAAATGCCTCTTGATATGCAAATTCCTTTGTCAAGGCGCCCAGCTTATATGCTCCAAGCGCGTGTGCTGTTTCATTCAGACGCTGTCGCCTCGACAGACCTGGTTTTCACCTGAGGACGGCTGCTTGCGTTGTGGCCGAAACGTCGTGAGAATTGTTTTATTGTGTTTTATTTTTATTATTTTATTACTTCCCTTCTACGTGACGACTTTACCGAAAGAAGCAAGAAGACGAGTGGCCAGTCTTAGTGGACCTGTGGGTTGGGTCGGTCTCTCACCAGGAGCGAGAGCCAATAAGCCCCCAAGCATTCACGATGTTCTCATCATAATTGCTGTTGCATGGCGCTTGTCTGAAACACTCGAAGAGCATCCCCAAGTAGCAGCTGCCCCTGTGTGGCACAAGGTGGTGGCCCTTGACCAGCCTGCATGTGAACACGAGCCTGTCAGTAGTGGCGATGATTGATGTGTAATCTCAGCTGTGTCGTTTGTAGGTGATCTTGACTTGAAGCTTTTGTGACTGCAGGAATCCACACTCTTTAGTTCTTTCGGTGACGTCACGTGGGTCGAAAAATTCTAGATCACGGCGTTTCGATGGCAACACAAGCGATCGTCATCAGGTGTGACAACCACAATCACCACCATCACCACCATCACCACCATCATCACCAACTGAGGTAGACGCCAACTTCAGCAGTTATTGACGTGGTCCCAGCTGATGGCGACTGCTTGCGTTGCGATCGAAACGTCGTGATCTATTATTTGTAGGTAATGTTTAGAATTTGCTACGTTTTGACCCAGACGCCAGCATGCAATGGACTACTCGTTTTGAATGACACAATAGTATGTGTTAAAATAGCTTCTTGTTAATACGATGTTGCCTGATGCAGTATGTTTCGCTGCAGTAATTCAATTTTGTTAATATGCCTGTCAATAATTTAGAATGAATACTTGTCTGATTGTGCATGTACATGTAACATTTTGTCTGTGAGGGTCAAACATGAAGTGTTCAAATCTAGAGTGATTAAGTGTGTGTGTTTAGAAGTAACCTGTACAGATCACTCGGGCGAGATCATTCATCAGTTACAAGGCATACCACTTAAAAGTTACACGTAGAGGAGATACATTCTTGACAACACGAATTATAATTTTGCATTCACGCAAGCACCCGATGCTCCGTTTTGAAGTTTTAAAATGAAACGTCTTCGAATTGTGTTGTGTTTTGAATTGTATTTCTTAATTAAAAGCTTACATCGTTTTACATCTGGAAGACTTCGTTGAAAAGGACATTCCGTGTGAATTCCTCTCGTCATTTCGCCGCGGACTGTCACCTGCTTGGGATCGCGGGATCGAGAGAAGGCGACACGGAGCTGCTGGCCGTGCGACAAGATTGCGGATCGATTTCACGGTCGAGTGTCTGTCCCTGCGCCTCCGTTGTCCATGCAGGCGGCGCGTGGAGCAGACGTCACACACGGGTTTGATTCCTTACCCGTACCCGGCCGCACCAGGGTTGAAAACGGCCGGGTAGCCGGGTGTCGGGTAGGGTACGGGTATCGGGTACCCGGTTGCGACCTCTGGGATGAAGCCATGTTGCAGGCGCGGGTGGGTTGATTCTAGAAACTTGAATTGTGAGAAGAGACAAGACGGGAAATTAGTGACAAACGGTGACTCACCAGTGACTCATGTCCTTCCCGTACCCGACCGCACCAGGGTCGAAAACGGGTACCCGTACCCTACCTGATACCCGGCTACCCGTACCCGGCCGGGTATCGGATAGGGGTATCGGTTACCCGTTTGCAACCTCTGGGATGAAGCCATGTTGCGCGGGTGGGTTGATTCTAGGAACTTGAATTGGGAGAAGAGACAAGACGTTGGGAAATGAGTGACAAACGGTGACTCACCAGTGACTCACGGTTACCCGTACCCGGCCGCACCAGGGTCGCAAACGCCTAC